GCGATTCGCGATTGACTATCGTAAATTAAACTCCATACTAAATATCCCGTATATCCGTTACCTATTATTGAAGATTCTAAGGAATATAACGTCTACCAAATATATGACGACTTTAGACTTAACGACTGGTTATTTTTCAAATAGGGCTTAGACCGGAGGACGTGCTAAACTGCTTTTATAACCAAGTCTGGCACTTATGCATTCCTGCGTATGCGTTTGGCCTTTCAGGGGCACCGGCAACTCAGCGATGTATGGACATTGTTTAAGGCCTGTTCTTGGAAAGTCCACATTTATCTATTAGACGATATCATTATTACTAGTGATAATCTGGACCAACATGTACAGGATTAAGACAGGTGTTTTATTATTAAATGAGCCGGTCTAAAAGTTAATGTCGAAAAGTGCAAATTTGCAGCCCCATGAATTAAAATAACTTAGGTTAAAAAATATCTCAGAAAGGAATCGAGACAGACGAATCAAAAATAATCGCTGTGCAAAAGTATTCCCGCCGCCAAACGCGAAGAAGCTGTCTTTTTCTAGGACTTTTTCATTTATGACCTTTATAAAAAGATTTTGCAGCTATTGCGAACCATTGTTAAAATTAAAAAGGAAAAAGGCAAGATTCTCTGGACGGCCGAAGCCAATAGTGCTTTCAAAAATTAAAACAAGGCATTAACGCCAGCCCCTGTGTTGAAATTTCCTGAAAAGGATAGAATTTAGAAAATTTCAGCGGATGCTCGGATTATGCGGTAGGCGGTACGTTCGCAAATCAGCAGCCCGTGGCACTTTTAGTCGAACTTTAAATCAAACACAAAGAAATTATTCCGCGACTGAAGAGCGGCACTTGCAGTTCTTTAGCAGTGCAAAAGTTCCGAGTCTATTTTGGAAAGGCGCCAATAACAGTTGTACTCTGATCATGCGGCGGTAACTAGATTGTACTCAGGGAAAAAATTATCCCCAAGGTTAAATAAGACTGGGCACTCAAGCACAAGAATATAATCTGGAATCAAGCACACCCCCGGAAAGGAAAATATCGTAGCAGATGCCCATCCAGAATAAAAAAAATATGAAGAAGTAATACTGTAAAGGTGGCAATGCTCCACAGCATGTACAATAAATTCCCGAGAAAACTGTAATAACCGAAAGGGTAAGGATCCTGAGTTTGGAAGCATTTATGAATATTTAAAGGATCCTGAAAATTTTAGCCACCAAGATATTGTGGCGATAAGAAATAGGGGTACGAACTTATTAGATGGTCTATTATTTTATACAAAAATGCAAAAATGCAGTACTTCAAAAATGCAACATACTTTCTCAGCTGAGTCGCAGTGTTTCAATTTTCAATTTTTTTTATTTTTCGGCTGCTTGTAATATTACACTAGTTTAGTTTCAACATGATACGATTTACGCATGCAGTGTTATATTTGCTAATTTTTTTATGAAATAATAATATTGAATTTAAATCAAGTTCAAAAGCTTTTTACCCATATTTTACATTTCAGCTGGGTTGCATTGTAAGGATCTTAAGTTTTACTAACGTTTATTTTATTTTAAATCTTTCTACACTTCTGTTTTCGACTCCGGCCAGAATTAAAGCTTTAACTTATTTATGCAAAATTGTGTGCGACGCCAAGTACTTAAGTTGTGGCTTTTTGCCAAGAGAGAGGAGAGGAAGGAGTAGTCGAGCAGGCCGCTTGCCGTAGCAGTTTTACTCGGGTTGCTGGTTGCCTTCCAGGCCAGAGGTTTAATCCTCTTAATAATTTTAAACGTATTGTAGTGAACAGTTCTCTGTACTACATACGGCTTCCTGTTAATATACGGCCAATCTTCCACGAGGCCCTTGTTTATATTCCAAAGTAGAGTTGATTAATTGTTATATTCTTACGTTCAGACCACAGTAGTGGTCTCTGTATTCCGAAGTACGGAAATTATTGTAAAGAGTAAAAAATAAGGGTTCGTAAAACCCTTCCTGTGTATCTTGTCTACTTCCCACATTTATTGAACATAGCTTTAGTAAGCTCCCTGTTCCGAGTCAGGTCTGTGCATGTTCCCAAAGAAAGTAAGGCGGAACATTGAACCTGATAACGTCACTTCGCATACATAAAAATTCCAAATATCTTCATTAAAAATTGTACAATGCAGAGAAACCTAAAACGCCAAATACACTTAAAATCAGTTAAAGAAAAACAGTTTTTGGCTCTTAAAATTACAGTTTCTAAGCAAAAATTAATTTTTAACAAAATTTACGGTGCAAAAACATTTAAAATTAACTTGTCTCACTGAGCACAAAGACACGAAAATGGTGCATCAGTTGACTTATTTCAATATACTAATAAGAGTTTTAAATACCAACCAAAAACCGCCACTTTAGGCTTAGCAACATTAGATCTTTTAAATGTTGATAATTCTCAACTATTGCATTCAGATTAAGTAAAGGCATGGTAACCTTAACGGGAACATAATTCAATCACTTTTAAAGTAAAAAATGCACAATTTACCAACATATGAGAATAGACAAATTGAGCTCAACGAGCATGGCAACATGGTGAGAATATATACATACACACACATGCACGTTTGGCGCGGCCGAATGCAACGAAAAAGGGAGGTGCCCAACTAGATGTTATAGTAGTACCATATGCAAAATTTCAAAGTTCTGCGGCTACTAATTTTAGAGTTATCAGACGTACATTCATACGTACGTACAAACGTCACGATAAAAAATCTTTTCTGAATTCCTTTTAAACCCACTTTACAGTCTTTTTTTTAGCAAAAATGAGTCTTCTATTCTGCCCGTACGTACAGATGACACGCAAAAAATCGTTCAAATAGTTTCGCGATCGGTCACAATGGTTAGTTTCTTTGGAATATGAAATTCGAGATTTTCGTGACTACATTACTTCCTTTACTTTGTACAAGGAAGTTCAAAAAGAGGGAAATAATTTGATTTCAACTTTTAAGATTTACTAGCGGGCAGCTGCGAAACCAAAATTTATAAGTTCTATGTACACTTGAAAAGAAAATGCATAAAAACATTTCGATATGGAAGAAATCAATTCAACCAATTCGTAAATAAGTTTTTTGTTTCCAAACCAGGAAACAAAAAACTTTTGACACTTCAGACGTATACGTACGAAGTCATAACTTAAATTTAATGTAATATAGTAATTTTTTCTCAATATCAATAAAATAATTAATGTGGCAATAACATATCGTGTCAGTTATCTTAACATTAATTAAAAAGGATGCTAATAGTAGCTATTCATTTAAAATGTGAACATTAACGAAAACGTTTCGACATACTACGGCGTCACAGGCAATTGCCAGCTTTCTTCTGCGTCAGAATATGATATTATAGTATAATAATAATATATTTAGTTTCTCGCAATGCTATTTTTAGCCCGCCCTGTATTATACTTAAACAAATTAAATAATGAAGAATCTGCATAAATGTATGTATGTGTCTTGCATTTGTAATAAAAGAACGGTACTTAGGGTCATCCAATTTTAAATAACATAATCCTCCACCGAATATGGGCATCTGAAAGACCTAGTTTGGAATTCGTTTCAATATATATTTCATATTTTGTCAGACATTAAAGTATTTTTGATTAAAAAATGCAACGATTTCAAAGCGAGGAATGGCAACACTGTACGAAAAAAAAAAATTTATCTTCAGCGCGCGACACTGCATATCGGAAATTTTAAAATTATCTTGCGATATTGCTGTTGCGTTGAATTTTATGGTTTAAGTGCGAAGAACATGATACTTAATAAATAAAGGTAACACACAAAACGTTAAATAAACGCCCCTTAGGGCATAATGTAAAATTTGAAAGCTTTCAGATTTTTAGTCCAAAGGGATTTGAATCCTGAAGGACTATTAGTTTCGTTTTGGCATTTTGCGTCGGACTCATAAATGTCGGTTCACTTTCCAAACTGTTGCCACAAAATGTTAGAGTCCTGCATTATATTTGAAGAAATTAAATAATGAAAAATCTCTCTCTATATATATGTATCCATATTTCTCAGATTGTGATAAAACAACGGTACATAGAGTCCATCGAACTTTGAATGACGTAATCCTTACTGCGAATATGAGGCATGTGGAAAGTCCAAATTTGAAATGTTGAAATTTGTTTTCATTATCGGATTTCATATTTTGTAAAACTTTGAACGAATTTTTGATTCAACAAACTCAAGGAATTTCAAAAGCCGAGCAATGGCAACGTTGGTACAGAAAAAACATTTTTTTATCCTCCAGCGCGTGAGTCTCTGTATCGGAAATTCTAAAGATATGCTCGTTTTAAAACTATTTTGCGATATTGCTGTTGCACTGGATCTTATGGTTTAAGTGCGAGGAACATGATATTTAATAAAGAAAGGTAACACACAAAATGTTAAAAAACGCCCCTTTGGATGTAATTTAAAATCTGAAACATTTCAAATTTTTTTTTCTATTTTTTATTTCATATTTTGTAAAACACAAAAATTTTTTATTAACAAACTCTACGATCATTGGAAATAAAGCTATCAGCGATCAGTCGCAACACTTTAAAATAAACCAGATTTTTACCTCCAGTCCGCGCGAATGTTGCCACTCGGAAAAAATGAGTGCAAAAATAAGCGTTTTCGGAGTTTTTAATTAATTCCTGAAGATGAGAATGGTCGAATGGCTTCCCGCGAATTTTTGGAATCCGGGTGTACCTCTTCCGAAACTCAACTCCCCGTTGTTCCTGAGGAGATAATGCAGTGCCTCCTACATACATGTATGTAGGAGGTACTGGATAATACCGCAAACAAACAGACAGCCTAGCAAGGATTTTTATAGTATAGATATCGAATGGCTGAGAAGAAACAAAATGATGGTTTTCTTAAATCTTACATAACGATTTAACGGAGATATGGACAAGGGAATAGATGCACAAAATAAAGATTTTTGCCCTTAAATAAAAAGCTAGAGATTTTAAATGAATGTTTTAAATTCTGAAAGATCATACCTTTTGATGCTGGAGAAATACTGATCAAAGAAATGTTTTGCGTGCTTCAGGACCTCATCTTTTGGTCTTGGAGTACCAGTGGGTCGTTTTGGAGGCGTAGACATGACAGATCCCATACATCGTGTCGGGCTGCATTGAACAGTCTGAAAATAAAATGCGAAAACTTTGATAAGAGAAATATATTGAAATATTTTGATAAGGGAAAAATATATTGATAAGAGAAATATATTGAAATATTTCGATAAGGGAAATATATTGATAAGAGAAATATATTGAAATATATTGATATTGATAAAGGAAATATATTGAAATATTTTGATAAGAGAAATATATTGAAAAATTTTGATAAGAGAAATATATTGAAAATATTGATAACAGAAATATTATTAATATTGATAAGAGAAATATATTGAAAATATTTTGATAAGAGAAATATATTGAAAATATTGATAAGAGAAATATATTGAAATATTTTGATATTTGAAAATAGTATTAAGAGAAATATACTGAAACATTTTAATAAGATAAATATATTGAAAATATTGCTAAGAAAAATATATTGAAATATAAATAAGAGAACTATATTGAAATATATTGATATTGATAAGAGAAATATATTGAAATATATTGATATTGATAAGAGAAATATATTGAAAATATTGACAGGAGTAAAAGGCATTTCTCCCGCCTTAGCATGTTCCGCCTTAGCGTATCTTCGTAGTGTAGTGGTCAGCATGCTGGGTGCGTATTCCAGAGATCCGTGGTTCGATTCCCGGCGAGAGCGTTGCTCATTTTTCATCTTTCCTGTTTTCAAAATATATCTAATGTCTCTACAAGAGTTCGAAACGACTTATTTTAGCTAAGATATGAAGAAATGACTTCTCAGAAAACTGAATAAGCAACAGAACAAGTTTTACAGACGAAGTAGAAGCAAAAGTAGCCATTCGGTATTGCAGGAAATGAAATTAATTTTATGAAATGAAACTAACTCAAAATTTTGAAGTATTTTTTACTCTTTAGATTTAATAAAAATTTGAGAGGTTTCAGATTTGAACGGTCGCTCGAAAGGGTTCGTAAAGGTATTTTAAGCTCTCGCTGACGTCCTTGCAGTCTGCAGTTACTCTGATTCGTACTAACCTCCCCCCCTTTTTTTTTTTTTTTTGTCTTTTTAACTTTTATCAAGCATCCTTTTTTTCGCACGTAACACCATATACAATTCCACAGCAAGATTACAAAAATTTTAACAGCAGCATAGCGGTATACGTTTAGAATTCTCGATGCAGCGTTTAGCATACGTTTTTCTTTCTTTTCTTTTTCTTTTTTTTTTTTTTTTCAGTTTTATCCTCAGTTTATGATATCGATGTTCAGTTTTCTTACTCAGATGGCTCTACAAGACATTAGTCTGTAGAGTCATTAGGTTAATTCGAAGCAGAAAAGATGAAAAATATGCAACCGCCTTCGCCGAGAATCGAACCACGGACCTCTGGAATACCTGCCCAGCGTGCTACTGTTACACCACGAAGGCACGCTAGGGAAGTGGGAGAAATACCTTATAAGTATTTTTGTTATTGACGCTTTGTGTGTTTACTTTGTTTATTAAATTTCACATTCTTGGCGCTGATGCTACAAAAACTTCGATTCAACAACAAAATCACAAAGCATTTAAAAAGCAGAATATCTTTAGAATTTCCGATAGACAGTCTCGCGCGTGTGAGATAAAAGTATTGTTCTTTGCTTTAAAATCCTTGAACATGTTAACCAGAAATTCGTGAATGTTTTCCGAAATAAGAAATAGATAATAAAACCAATGAGAAATTAAAAATTCCGCCTTCCAAGAACTTTAAAAGAATTTTTGAGTAATAAACTCAACGATTTCAAAGCGAGCAGTGGCAACATTGTACGGAGAAAACATTTTTATCTCCAGGGCGCGAAACTGCCTAACGGAAATTGTAAAGATATTTTGTTTTTAAATATTTTGAGCCCAATGTGGAGTTAGCTCAAATGCTCTGGAAATGTGCATTTGTCTGTAAATGAAGGAAAGGGCCGTTTGGGCGTAAAATATTCAGACATTTTAATTTTTTTATTATTTATTTAAATAAAAATTCTTATTTTTATTTTTATTATATTTTTAAATTAAAAAAAGTTCATGTATGCGCGCCTTTTTTACATAAATATGAACATTATTAGCTCCACTCGTATGTGAATAGTTTGTAGGTAGGGCAATTTCAATGGAAATTAATGTAATAAAAGGCACCTGTTTACGAGTTACGAGAAGAGGTGTTACGAAAGCAAATGAAAATATACAGTGTGCTACGTTTCGCAGCTTTCAGCAAGTAAAAACGTTTTAAATTTTCTTTATCTGGGGCCATTTCCCCACGTTAATAGAAAACATCAAGAAAGAAGGAGGATGGTAATTAATGCCCAAAGGCGATTTTATAATAAAAGCGTTACCATTTTCCTTCATTGTCCCGAAATTTTACTCTCTTAACTTAATTTTCGTTACTTCCAATCGCTAACTCTCTCAAGATGAAAGTTCACTACAGTTTACGTATTGAGATAGCGTTAAATTTTACGGAAGTTTAATTTAACACGAAGGCAGAGAATGGTATGGGTACAAAACCCAGGCATGATTAAGCTCAAACTCCATGTTTTTCTTTTAATTTGTTTACATTTTAATAAATTAAAATGCGAAAGAGCTTAAGATATTTATCTTTCCAATTTAATCTGTTTGACTGATTAACAAACGTAAATGTTTAAAAGCAATAGCTGCAGTTATTAAGGTTGTCACATTTTAAACTTTTGAAATGGATTGATTTAAAAAAACGCACTTAATTAATTAGGATATATCTAATAAAACATTCAGTATTTTGTTATAGATTGCCGTTATACATTTATTTAATTTTCAGAGACGCAGAAGATATGTTATAACATTCCCATGTTTGTCTAAATGTATATTCATCTAGTATCCTTCATAATACTAATTCAGAAGTCAAACAACAAAAATCAGAGTTATACTTTCAAAATTTTCACAGGACACTCATTTGCGGTTTTGCAGCTGAGGATGGTGGTTCGGTAAAACCATCGAAACTAGTCCTATGAAAATTTTGAAAATATAACGCTGATTTCTGTTGTTTGACTTCTGAATTAGTATTTATTCGGCGTGTTATTGTGTCCTTATTCTTTATAATGTTTCTCTGTTCCAGTAATATAATGTATAGAATATATTCGTAATAAGAAAATAATGCAAATAATAATAAACTGCTGAATCTTCTATAAAATACTCTTAAAATATGTTAAGAATAGTTACTAGCTAACTACATTAACATTGATTTCGGAAATGTATCTGTGTCGGCGGAAAAATCAGACATACGATGATCTAGAATTAGTTGAAAAGGTATTATTTATTTTGCATATTTATATAATTGTTTTAAAAAAGTACAATTTGTAAACAATTAAAAATTTAATATATATTATAGATAAGTATATTTATTAATAACAATATTATAATACATTAATACAATTAATTACTGTGTATACATTTTCTTATCTTAGATGAAGCAAATTTGTCAATTACTTAAAATTTTTTTCTTTCCATATTTAAAAATACTAGATGACTTGGGAGATCTGGTCCCATCGTTGATTGTAAATATGTCAAAATTTATTTCAATTTGCTCAACGAACATTCATAGCTAGACTCCTCTCTCCATTAATAAAAAACACTTACAGTAATATAATGCATTTGATAATGAAATAGTAAGGAGTATTTGAAGTGCGACTCTTAGGTTTGGAAAGCCTTTTCTCCGTAGATCTCTAATGGAGTTGTAGGTTCAGTTTTTTTTCTGCTACGGAGTAACATCTTGCAGTCACATTCACTGCTCAAAACAATTAGAGGATATTGTCGGTTCGATATGAAATAACCATATATAATCGACAACCTTTTTAACAAAAGATATACTAGAAATTATAAAGAAAAATTATCACTTTTACAAAGTTGTGAATATGCAAATTTAGTCTGTGACGTCGAAAACTATGCGTTTTAGACAACGAGTAAAGAGCGACCTGTAGCATTCCTTTCGTAGTAAGAGATTAAAAAAAATTGACACACGTTGAATGCTTTGTAGCAGTGAAAACTCAACTAAGAACTTTGTAGCGGTGGAAACTTCAGCAAGATGACTCGACTAAGTCATCTTGCTGAGACTGACTTAGTTGAGTCTGTAGTCAGGAAAGCATCAGTCGTTTACAGAAGAGTCAAACGCAATCCATTGTAGCGGAAGCGTTAGGAGTTTCCAAAAATGTCATTTTCAGGTTATGGAATCGGTTTTGGGACTGGTTATGTTTGAGAAATTCGAGACAAGGTCGTGTTATCGTTTTTAAAATAAAAAGCGGGAGCTATACGTGCATTTCGTTTAAAAAACATGTACCTCTATTTTGGAGAAATAAAGTGGTCAGAAAGAATGTTTTGTATGCGGAGATATTTGGTTGATGTACTGCAAACGTTTTATTACACATTTCATCAGACAAATGAAGAAAATAAATAATTAATTTGTAGGGTTTATATTTATTTTAACTAACATTTATTTTAAGTTTAAACTATCTTTCCTGTCAATCCTTACTTTCCCCTGGAACTGCCAATGCCAGAATATGTAAATTGGAGTAGAACGCGCAAGCATTCAAATTATCAGCGGAAGTAGTATGATTTAAATAGAAGGAAACGAGTTCGGTGAGAGAGTTATTCTTACTTAGCGAGCGCGGAGGTAGAAATCGAGAATTGAAGAACCCCGCGTTGCGGCCTATGTGCTTGGCGGGAAGTAGTTGCAATTGTTCCAGTGAGCTTCAAGTCTGCTGAATTAGCTGCGGCTTTTGTAAAACGCGGTGAGTTAGTTATTTTAGAGAGCCTCGTAGTTAGAATATTGTCTTTACTTTCTTTTCAGGTTCTTATTTTTATTTTGACTGCCGAGTTGGCACCGTTTGTAAGCGTCAAGAGAACGCAATTGTAATTCATTACGTTGAATAAAAAGGGACTTAAACCCTTTACAAAGACTCTGTGGTTTATACAAGCTTTCACAGTCACCCTTGGTTGCGTGCAAGTTGTAGGCGCGCAACGTTATATTGGCGCCCGAACACTTATCGAACTGAAATGGCC